TGTGTGGGTGCGCGCCCTCTCCCCCCCCCCCCCCAGTCCCAGACGTTCTTGCCAACCAGCCCAAAGCGAAACCTTTGCATTGCCGGTTCCGCGCAGTGGGAGGACACGCGTGTGCGTTCAGACACCCCCCCCCAAAAAAAAACAACAACAACAATCGGCTCCGGTGCAGAACACAAATGGCAGTCCGAAACTACGGCGTGTTTACTCGGGAGTAAGACCCCCACACACACTATTCGATGGGACTGTACTCCTAACTTATTGAGAGTATGCCTGGATAAAGTGTGTGACTGCAATACAGAAGGCCAATGCTATGCTGGGGATTATGAGGAAGGGTATTGAAAACAGATAGCTAATATCATAATGCCCCTCAGTTGGAATACTATGTGCAGTTCTGGTCACCACACCTTAAAAAGGATATTATAGCTTTGGGAAAAGTGCAGAAAAGGGCAACTCGAATGAGGAAAGGTTAAAGCGCTTAGGGCTCTTTAGCTTGGAGAAACGATGACTGAGGTGTGACATGATTGAGGTTTAAAAGATTATGCATTGGATAGAGCAGGTAGAGAAAGAGGTACTTTTCTCCCTTTCTCACAATACAAGAACTCGTGGGCACTCCATGAAATTGCTGAGCGATCGGGTTAGAACGGATAAAAGGAAGTAGTTCTTCACCCAAAGAGTGATTAACACATGGAATTCACTGCCACAGGAGATGGTGGCGGCTACAAGCATGGACAGCTTCAAAACGGAATTAGATAAGGATATGGAGCAGAGATCCATCAGTGGCTATTAGCTAGGGACTCTGGGGCAAGTGATGCTCTGTCTTCTTGGTGCTTGGGGGGGTCAACAGTGGGAGGGCTTCTAATGTCCTGGCCCCACTGGTGGACCTCCTGATGGCACTGGTATTTCTGGCCACTGTGTGATACAGAGTGTTGGACTGGATGGGCCTTTGGCCTGATCCAACATTGGCGTCTCTTGTGTTCTTATGTAGGTCATTGGTCTGTACTATCCACCCTTCAACTGGATTTCCAGTCTCTGAAAGCTATAAAATAGCACCAGCCGTCTTATTATAATAAGCAAACATACTTTCTGTAGTTGCATGGCCAACCTCCAGGTGGCCCTAGAGAACTTCCACTATAACAACTGATCTCCAGACATCCAAGATCAGTTCCCCTGGAGAAAATGGCTGCTTTGGAGGGTGAACTGTATGGCATTGTACCCTGCTGAGACCATCCCCTCTACAAACCCCACCCTCCCCAGGCTCCATCCCCAAAATTTCTAGGGATTTCCCAAACCAGAGCTGATAACCCTGCTTCTGCAGGCTGACTCAATAATAATAGGTCTCACGTATATATGTTGTAAAACTCTTTTTCTAATGTATGTTGGTGCTCTTGTGATGGATACAATACAAATTCATTTGAAAGCATTACTAAACCATTTTGTCATTATGTGTTTTGTCAGTCAAGGGATACTACTAGTACAACTGCTGTCATGTGGAGGTCTGCAAAATTTCATGATGTTAAAAGGGATCCTCATAACTGAAACAGTTGGAATGTCCTCAAGGCTACCCTTTGTTTCTTTCTTCCCATAGCTGTGGAACCCAGAGAAGAGTGATGAATATTTGTGGACCAGGGAATGAATAGTTTGCAGTGTATTAATGCAAAGGCTGGAGGGGGGGGGATGTGTGAGATTTTTATTAATCAATTGAACTGTAGCTGACAGTTGCAAGTGGGTGAACTGAAGACAAATGATCAGCCGAAACAAAAAGAGACAGAACTGAAGATCTAGGGATGTAAATAGTGGAACTGATTAACACGGTGGTTAACTTCTGAACAGGGAAGAGCTAGGGCCCAAACCTCTAAAGAACACTCTGGCCCCTAATCTAGTTGTGCAGACCACCTCTGAATATCCCTTGCCTTGAAGGCCCTACAGGGTCACCATAAGTCGGCTGTGACTTGACAGCACTTTCCACCACTGCCGCCGCCACATGCTCAAAAAAAATCTCTCATTACTTCAAGTATTGACTTTCTATAATCCTTCCTCCTTGCAACGTGGTTTTTAGCATCTGCATCCAGTTGCCGTAATTGTAATATTTGGCTACATACGCTCAGAGTCTGCGCTGGTATAAATGCATTCATCTCCACCGAGATAACTGATAGCCGTTCAGGATTTGGTCGATGGAGTGTGATAATAAGGATGATTAATCAATCTCTGATTAATAATGCTTGTAACATTTATTGGAGTGAAATCTGGCATGCGCTCTATATTAGACAGGAATATTGCAAGATTCTCTCCTCTCCCTCCCCCTTAATTGATGTTGGCACCGCAATAATGCCAACCCTTTTGCAATGATCCCATACATCATTGTGTCCCTTCAAAATGTTCAAGTATTAAATAGGGCACTTGAGTAGTAAAATATATTAAGCCTGAAAAACTGATAAATTGCAGGCACCTTAATTAAAACCATTGTGCTAAGCCCAGGTTAAGGAGCACCACTGAGCTAGGAAAAGGTTTTTACCCAAAACTGCTTGACGGTCTTAGAGCCACTCCTGTTGTCCATTTGTTGAGACACAGGTGTATGCACCGAGGTCTTAAGATGCAGTCATTCATCATGTAGGAAGATTTACACGTTTAAAATGTGTTTTTGTGTCACAGTGAACATTCAGTCTAGTTGCTGGATCTTAGCATGACATTCAGAAGCAGATAACTTCCCTTATGTGCAGGTGGATTTTCTCTTAAGACAAAGGTATGAGTAGCAGCATCTTTAAAAATTTAGTACCAGAAGCAAAATGTGTAAGGCTTGCTTTGATCACCCTTGTTTGTGCCTAAAACATTTCTCTTAATTTGTTCTAGTAGCTGCCTTGTCCACAGTCCCTTTCTGATCTGCTGTGTGGCATATTCCCCCAAAATAAACTGACAAAAAGAATACATCTTCTCCCTGATCTCACCACCTATGCCTTTGAGTAACTAAGAGCCAGGCTTTTGATGTTTGCACTCCTTCTCTGCGGGCAGTCCCGGCTTGCCACGCAGCTTCAAACACATTGCCTGGTTCGGTCTAAAGTACGCTTACTTCTCTGTGGGTATTCGGGCCATGTATGGAAGCTTTATGATCAATTTGTGTTGATCGTAAAACAGAAGGAAGCAGGTGTTTCTGCATACCAAGTCATTATTTGATTTTATGTGGCACTTATTGACTTGAGAGGATTCCAACTTTTTTCTTTTAAAATAAGAGAAGCGATGCTGAAGTACTGGTGCATAAAACCATGTGCTACTGATCAGAGTGGCTGATTTTTGTATGGGTGTAGTCTGACTCATCTCTGTTGGTTGACTGGATTGTCCTTTTGTCCTGGGGAAAAAAAGTTGAAATAGATATAGGCTTTACTGATATCCTTGCCTTATTTTATCCAACTTTACTGTAAATAGGCTTTGACATCTTCAGGGCAGGATCCTGTCTCTCTCATTCATGCTATCTTTGTTAAATACTTTGTACATATATGGTATTATAGTCAGTCATTAGATAACTTATAACTATAATTTCTTCATATGGAACTCTGAACCTGTGGAGCATCAATATATCTAATTCTCAACGTAGTCCTGTCCGTAGATTCTTGAATCTGGAGACTGAGACCATGGATAGATATGACAGATCTTTCTACATACCCCAGGTTTTCATAAAGATTAGAAGACCTTGCAAAATAAATGGCTTGCACAGTTAAAAATGACTTGCTGACACAATTATAGTGGAGAGGCCATAAAATTTCAGACCAACAGCACACTTGAGAGTGGATCAAGGGTATATCTAAAGTGGAAGAAAGTGTGTATTTCATTAGACGTGTTTGCATAGATGTTACTATATAATTAAAAGAAGCACTAGGACTCCAAACTGCTTGATGTCTGCTTCCTAACACCAAGAAGGAGGGGCATTCAGTAACATAAGACAACTCAAAATGTGCAAAGGGGTTGAATATTGCATTTATGGCTTTTGTCACTCTCTGAACCATTAAAATGAATATTATTAAATTTAATAATAATAAATGAGAAGGAAAGTTATGAAGATCACTTCTAAGGTCATTTGTTTAAAGTGACTCTAGGAAGCAGGAAATTCACCCCCAAGGTTGCAAGGAGCAAGTTGAAGAGCTTTGCATACTATTAGTGGTTGTGGCCACTTTTACTTCCTGCATCAAGTTCTTTTTCTATAGTTGAGAGCCAAAACAAAGCAGCTGTGATAATACACTTTAAAACTATCAGCCTTTGATAATGTGCCCAACAGTGCAATACTAGCTTACAACAATCTCCTGAACTTTTCCCTTTACTCCTACACCGTCCATTGACTGATTTCAAGTGGCAGTGAATCTAGCTTTTGAAAATAGGCGGTGAAAGAAATCAAAGGCTTCTTAACCAACACCCACTAAGTATACCTATGGACCATTGTTCCTCATGGACTCCTCAGTATAAAATTGCTGCCCTTCTTGGCCATTGTTTACTAGTTCTAGGTTGGAGCAAAGAACTTCTGCCTTAGTCTGATAGATCAAAAATGTCTCTTTCTTGACAGGAGAATCTCATTTGGGAATCAATTTTATACAGAGGGAATGCTAGAAAAATAGTACTTATTTTCTTGTTTTTTCTCTTCCCAAAGGTAAATGGAAAAGACTTATCAAAAGCAACTCATGACCAAGCAGTAGAAGCATTCAAAACAGCTAAAGATCCTATTGTAGTCCAGGTCCTTAGGAGAGCGCCACGCGCCAAAATCTTCAGTCCCTCTCATGAATGTCTCCTAGTTGATATGGGCACCCAGACGGATATCACCTTTGAACACATCATGGCTTTAACCAAGATGGGCTCACCTACTCCACCAGTTACAGTGCTGGATCCTTACCTCTTACCTGAAGAGTAAGTATCAGTTTTATTAAAGCTGTAAAGGCTTTTTAAAAATCATGTTTATAACACGAAAGGCAGCAGTCACTTGGTGCAGCATTACTAACACAAGTAATGTAGGGTTGCATTTCAGATTCCTATAAAAGACGCAGTAATGTTCACAGAAGGTAAGCCAGATTCTGAAGAGCCCTGAAAATGCAACATATGTCTACCTAATAAAGAAGACAGGCATAGGAATAGCAACCATAAATCCATCTTTACCTACCCCACTTTACCACACTCTTCCTTTAGGGTGTTCAGATTCCTTTAAGAGGTTCCTATATTTTATCCTCACAAAAACCTCATGAGGTATCTTAAGCTGAGAGTGAGTGATTGGCCCAAGGTCACCCAGTGAGCTTCAGAAATACCTTAGTTCTGAGATTAGAAATAATATGCACAACAACAGCCTATATCCAGCAACATTCCAAAACCTTAAGGGCATTTATGTTTTCTTAAATGTTTGGTTGAACACCATCATTTGGAAATTACATGAGTGATCCAAGCATTTAATATCACTTGTTCGTGATGCAGAACAACCTGTGGAAATAGAGACAAGCTTGTCAAATCCCTGCTTCTGAGTAATCTAGGAATATGTTTTAAAAAAGCCCTGTAGTACAACCCCATGTAAGGAAACTATGTGAAATCTTCAGTCAATGGTGTCTTTAGACCAGCAGTCCCATTAATGAATTTAGATCAGGGGTGTCGAGCTCATTTATTATGAGGGCTGCATCTGGCATAAATGAGACCTTGTTGGGCCAGGCCTTGTGTGTCATAAAATGTAATGCCAAGTAGCGGAGATATAAACTTTATAAAGGACACAAACACAAAGGTTTGGGGTTTTTAACTTAAAATAAAAACATGCTAAAAATATCAGTACTCTTGCAATATTTTGTTTATTTAACAGTGTCTGTTAACTGACACCTCTTGCTCTGAATTATTGCATCAAAATGTCTGTGCTGTAATCTTGAGTATGCTGTTCAGGTGTGTATCTGTAAACTGCAAACCTACGATGATGCAGCAGCAGCAGAACTGGAAGAAGAAGCAGAAGGCAGCCAGTTCCACTGCGGGCCTGATAGAAGCCCTCCAGGGGCCTGATCTGGCCCCCGTGCCACATGTTTGACACCCCTGATTTAGATCTCTAAAGTTTGCTATCATAAAAGGCATTCATACATACTAAAGCCTCTTCCCTCCTGTGATGGGATGCTCTACAACTACATATATGATTGTCATGTTATAGAGAAGGTGGATGGTTGCAGTCTGAGAAATACCCCTGCCTGATCCACGTATAGCAGAGATTTGAACCACCACACATGCTTCATTGCAAGTGACGTGTGGAATTCAGAGGATCTTCCAAAGCACCTTGCAATGCAAAACAGGGGTACTGTTTTCCCTTCCCTTTCCCATATGGGTGTATGTGTCATCAAGTCACAACCAGTTTATGGTGAATCCAGCAAGGGGCTTTCGAGACAAATGATAAGCAGAGGTGGTTTGCCATTGCCTTCCTCTGCAGAGTCTTCCTTGGTGGTCTCCCATCTATATACCAACCCTGCTTAGCTTCCAAGATTTGATGAGATTGGGCTACATGTCGCCTTCCCTCCACCCTTCCCCATAAAAAATTGATGCATGTATAAATGGGAATGCACATGTACAGCTGCCCTGTGCTCAGACATCACATCCACCTAGTTCACTATGGACTTTTGGATTGGAGCACTTATCTAGGGTCTTACATGAATGCTTCAAAGCCCTAATGGAGACACCAGAGACCGAACCTTTCACATCCAAAACATGTGCTCTATCAGGCTACATGGCCTTCCCTAAATATGGGGTCATAGCTTTTCTGTGTTCACTCTTTGTTTGTTCATTACAATATGTGTACTCCACCTTTCCCCATGACTTAAGATGGCTTTGCAAAACCCAGTTTAAAACATACAAAATTCAGGGTTTAAACATTTAAACCTCTGGAAATACCTGCTGCTTACACACCATTAGAATCCCTAGTAAATGAAAGCGCTTTACATTGTTGCTCTCTTTGTCACGGTGAACATAAATTTCACACAGCTAAGAGCAGCTGCCTTCTGTTCCAGTGTATTAATTACTTTATTATAATCCTATGGCAATGTTACATAAATAAGTTGTTCTTGAGGGCTGATATTTCTTCACAATATTGTCAAGGAATTTCGAGAATCAATTTTTAATTACTGCTAGCAATGTTCTGAAACTTTTGCACATCCAAATTAAAAAATAAATTGCTGCCGTAGCCACACTCAAGCTCACACATACTCTTAAGAAAAGATTCTCTTCAAAGTCTATTATTATTCCACATGGATGCTTGATACATTTCTGAAACAAGAAGAAAACTGTAGAAATTTGCCAAAAATGTCAAAAGTGTTTGTGATGAACATCTTCCTATTTTGTATGCAGAAAGCTGCAATGATATTGCTGATAAGAAGGCATTCTTGAAGTGAAATGCAGTTTCAGATCTGTATATATCTTGACCATGAAAGATGGGTTTTTACAGAGCAGAACTTTTGTTAGTGTTCCTGCTTTGAAAAGGGTTTCAAATGCACTTGGACTGTGGCACCTGTATCCTACTTCAGTTTCTTTTGCGGTGCTTGGCATCTAGACTGGGCGCTGCAGGCTGTGGCTGGATGGCTTAGACTTGAGTCGACTGAAATTGAATTCAACGAAGACGGAGGTCCTGTGCCTAAGTCAAAATGTGCCAGGGGTAGGGATTCCACTCCCGACCTTCAATGGGGCTCCGTTGGTGCCAGCGTCAGAGGTTAGGAGTTTGGGAGTGCTCTTGGATGCCTCCTTAACAATGGAGGCCCAAGTAGCAGCCACTGCCAGATCAGCTTCTTACCATCTTTGGCTGGTTAGGACATTGTTCCCTTCCTCGAACATGATAACTTGGCAACAGTGATCCATGCAATGGTCACCTCGAGACTGGACTACTGTACCGCTCTCTATATGGGTCTGCCCTTGTCTCAAATCCGGAAGCTGGAGTTAGTGCAGAATGCAGCGGCCAGGCTGTTGATGGGTATCCCCATGCGGGAGCACATCCAACTGGTACTGAAAGCACTACACTGGCTGCCAATAGCATACCGGACTCGTTTCAAGGTGCTGGTTTTAACCTTTAAAGCCCTATATGGTCAGGGTCCGGCATACCTGAGGGACCACCTTTCCCCACACATTCCCCAGAGAGCACTGCGCTCAGGGGCACAAAATCGGCTAGCCCTCCGAGGCCCCAGGAACGTCAAACTGGCAGCAACCAGGACCTTCTCGGTGGCAGCTCCATCCTGGTGGAATGAGCTCCCAGTAGAGATCAGGGCCCTGCAGGACCTCTTACAGTTCCTCAGAGCCAGCAAGATGGAGTTGTTCCACCAGGCATTTGACTAAGGAGCTGCAGTACACACTGGGAAATGTCCCTGCACCCTGGCTTTCCAGCCTGTAACCCGGGTCCTACCATCAAGGTTCCTAGCCTGTGCTCGCTGCGTAATAGATGAGAACTGTGCTGGTGTGAAAATATTGACATCCAACAGGCACCTAAACTATGTTATAAGAACTGCTCCACTTGTTGGTTGAGTACGATCCAGTGTTTTATGTATTTGTGTTTTAAATTATTGTTATTTTAAGTAATTTATAAACTTATGACAGGTTTTATTGTATTTTACTGTATTTAATTGTATGTAAGCCGCACTGAGCCCGCCTCAGCGGGGAGGGTGGGATGATGATGATGATAGACTGTCCATTTATTTCTACCTTCTGCTTCCTGTTTTCATGGTACTCTGACTGGATCATGTCCTCCTATTCATGACGACTACCTTTACTTGGGAGTCTTGGGTAAGGTACTCTGTCAAACACTGTTTGTAAATCCAGAGCACCCCTATTTTTTAAACTCTCCAATAATTGTAAATTCGTTTGTGAGGCAGGACTTCCCTTTTCACATGTTATGCCAATTAATCTTCAGCAAAACTTGCATCTCTGTGTGTTTAAGAATTACAGCTTTAATAACCCTTTCTTCCAGCGTACTAGGAATTTTCAAGATGCTTCCTAGTCCTTTTTTGTTTTGAAAAAAATGGGCGTTACATTGGCCACCTTCCATTCTGATAGTAAGATTTTAATTTTAACGATAAATTGCATATTCTAGTTAGAGCCATTTCACATTTGAGTTCTTTAGAGATTCTCAGGAAAATGCTCATGCACCCAATTTGTTAATTATAATTTCCTAATTAGCCCCAAAGTCTACCTTCATCACTTCTGTTTCTCAGACACCTCTAAAATAATGGCTCATAAGTGACTATCTCTCAACCATCTTCTGTAAGTGAAAGATGATGCAAATGATTCATTTAGTTTCTCTGTAATCTTTGTTAGCATTTCTTTCACACCTTTGTTGTTTAAAAATCTTTCATGAGGTAATAAATACCTGCTTTTGAGGTATTAAAAGTAATTGTTTATAACTTCCTGTCACTTTGCTCCTCAAATTCCCTCTGTTTGCCTTTATTGTCACCTATTTTGTTAGAGTTCTTGCTTCTCCCCAGCCCTCATTTCATCAATACTTCCACTTTTTAAAGGAAACCGTTTCTTCCTTTTATGGTTTCCATCACACTGGTATTTAACCACACTTGTATTTCTGTGGTCTTGTTAGTACAGATACAGATTTTATCTGAGCTTCTATTACATTGGATTTAAATAACTTCCTACATTTCTTGAAGGGATTTGACCTCCCTGACACTTCCATTCAGCTTTGTTTTAACTAATCTCCTTATATTTGAAAGAATCTTTTTTGGAAATTAAGTGGACTTTCAATACAGGTACATAATAATTTACATACAATGATACCTTTAGAGTTGACTCCCCTTGACTCTATGGTTCTAAGAAACAATTACTTTAAAAGTTTGTCACTGTGTCATGATTAGGGTTGCTAACCTCCAGTTGGTGACTGGAGATCATCTGAAATTAGAGCTGATCTCCAGGTGGCAGAGATCAGTTCCCCTGAAGAGAGTGGCTGCTTTGGAGAGTGTAATGTCTGGTACTATACCCCACTGAGGTCCTGCCCCTCTATAAACCCCTCCCCCAGGTTTCACTCCCAAAATCTCCAAGTATTTCCCAACCCAGAGTTGGCAACCCTAGTCATGTACATTTACACAGCCAGTGAGTCACCAGTTGAAGTCTCCAATTATCATAACCATTTCTTTTGTTTTGCATGTTTTCCTCACTTCATCACTGCCTTCTTCAGGGAAAATGTGGATAACTCAAGCATAACATGGGAATAGGCTTGCCAAGTCTGCCCAGGGGGCGGGGAAACCCCTGCCCCAGAGGCCCGTTCCCCGCCGGCGGCGGATCAGGCCCCGGGGGGAACCCCACCCCGAAAGCACGCGACGTGCACATCACCCGGAAGTGACGCGGGCACGCTGAGGGCGGGGCCACAGTCATCCGAGGGAAAACTCTATGGTTTTCCCTCGGATAGTCGTGGCCCCGCCCCCAGCGTACCCAGCGTGGTCGCATCATTTCCGGGTGATGGGGTTGCGGCGCGCGCGCAGTCCCGAAGCAGCGCTGGAGTCCCCCGCTCCAGCTCCGCTTCTGACTTGGCAACCCTACATGGGAACCCAGTTTGGGGAACAATGGTTTGCCATTGCTTGCATGAACCAGGACTGTTCTTGGGCTCCCCACTGATCTAATGCATTATTGCAGCTTTGCCAAGGAAGTAATTGGATGTTGCATGAAATGAGAGGAAGAAGAGTGAGTTCACAAGCCCAAGCTGGTGCAGGACGAAAGCACAAATGTCTACTCACTTAGCTCCTCATCCTATTCTGCAACTGATCTTTCTTTTGAAAGTTCAAAGTTTAAACATTTTAGGTCCACTGCAAAAATTCAAGGCTAGCTCTTGGACAGGGCCCAGGTTTTCCTGTCCCTCGTCCCTCTTTTTCGCTCCTTTCTTTGATTCAGTGCTGCAACATATATTAATGCACACTTCCTATTTCGGAAGTATGTATGAATATAAGTTGCAGGACTGAATCAAACAAAGTGGGGGGGGGATATATCTCATCAGCATTAAAACACTGCAACCAAGTCCTGAATCTTCACTGATAGGGTTCTGAGGACTTTGATCTAATTTTTAAAGTAGGCTTACTGATAGTGGTTAAGAGTGCCAGACTAATACCTGAGGGACCCAAGTTCAAATCCCCACTCATGCTATGGAGGCTCACTGGGTGACCCTCGATCAAACACATGCTCTCAGCCTAACCTACCTCACAGGCTTGTTGTGAGGATAAAATTGAGGGAACAATGTAAGCCACTGTGGGTCCTCATTGGGGAGAAGGGTGGGGTATAAATGAATTAAATAAATAAATAATTTTAAGCTAACTTTCAAAAAGTACTACTTCCATCCTTTTATTATGTGAATTTGATTTGTGTTTATTTGCGAATTGTACATGACTGAACATTTGTACTGGGCCCAGCCTGAGCAAGTTCAACAAGCAATTGTGCTTTATGAACTAGTCTGTTGAAAATATTCATACAGAATATGAACACACATAGAAACTACTATTTCCAATGCCTTACCACTCTGCAGTTCTGCTTTCCTGATTGCAAAGAACAGCAGTAACAATTGGCTGTTATTCCAGGACTACTGGCTGAAATTAACTGTTCATCTCTCTGGTGGGTTAGCCCCTGCATGTTACATGAAAGAGACAGATTTTATATTTGTTTGCTTTTTCTTTAATGAGCTTACAACCCTCAGCACCATTGATCACTGGCATCACATCGGTCTGAATGTACGTGTGACATGTTAGTGATGATCTGCCGTGAGGCTTGGGGAGGATTAATATGTTAATTAGAATAGCAAGTGATAACCTAAACTGTGCTTTATTTTCCCAGGCATTCATCAGGGCATGAATACTATGACCCAAATGATTACATGGGAGGCATTCATCAAGAAATGGACAGAGAGGAGCTAGAATTAGAGGTATGAGTAATAACTAGATGCAGTCACTTAATACAAAATATTTTAATAATTTTTCATATGTCGGGGACTTAGCATTGCATTAAAATCATGTTTGCATGTTACCAAAATGTATTGGAAATATGGTTGCAAGTAACATTGGTTCTTCTTCCTTTTTGAGTGCAGGCGCCATGAAATTAGTGCTTATTCACTTTCATGTGCAGTTAATCATGTGTTATGTAATTAAAGGATTAGACACCATGTCCTCAGCTGGCACGTAAGCAGACTGTTCAATGGTTTTTCTTATCTGTTTTACTATCATTCCATATATATCTATAATTGTTATAGTTCTATATATATCTGTACTCCTGTGGAAATGTGCTACCAATAGCAAAATCTGATACATACCATAAATCCATAAGAATCTCAGTCTATGTTATAAAAGGGGAGTTCAATTCTACAATTTTTCATTAACTGAGGAACCCTCTTCTGATGGAAGGAGCTGTGTTTCATCAGAAAAAAAATGTTCTTTGTGGGAGGAAATAGGATCAAGGTTTCTAGACCTTGTGGATGTACGTTTAAAAATGTGCATATAGTATGTATAGAAGCATCCTTCATTAGAGGCCATGTTACCCAATATAGGCAGTCTCAGTTTAATTTGGTGGGATTAGTTTGGAGACGGAGCGAGAGGTGGGTATCTGGAATCTCCACATATGCATATGGGGATTTTTCTGTATGAGAACTCTCGGAAATAACCAGGTAGATGTTCAACCGGTAGGGTTTTTATTGAAACAAATAGAAAGAATAAAACAAGGATTCACACAGCAAACACTTACAAGAGCTAATTAAGACAGACAGGGAGGAAAGGGGAGAGATTTTTAGGGAAGGGTGATATTTACCGATTCTGAAGAGGTCTGCAGAAGCCGCAGGTCAAGGAGGGAAACAGCCAGCATTTCAGGAAAGAGAAGGCCTATATGCAAGTGTGGGTGTGCAGAGGATCCAAGAACACACACATACTGCTGGGGCAGCAGGGTGACATGTTTATAGGGCAAAATGTATTTTAAGGCAGGTTGATTCACTGCCAGAGGACAATGACTTGATGGTTCTACTGGAAGTAGACAAAGAGGTGGGAGGGGTTTGATGGCTCTATAAGCACCAGACAGGAAGGGTAATTGGGAAGGTGAATAGACTTAAGCATTGATTAATCGCTGCTTAATCAAGGGTAGTAGGTAAAGGGGAAGTCAAAATGAGGTATTGGTGGGATTATACTGAGGCCCCGTTCACACTTACCTATTTGGTCCGGGAGCGGGACAGTTCGGGGGCGGTTCAAACCGGCGCGATCACACCGCAACATCTGGGAAGCGCCGTGAAACCGTCCCCGAACTGTCTCTTTTCGTGGAAACCGCGCCGCAAACTGAACCACCTATCTCGGTGGTTCAAGTGGATGCAGCGCCTCTTCCCGGCCGTTTGATCGCCGGCGCAAGGACGCGCCGGCACAACCCCGGGCCGGCGACGCACTGCGCATGCTCAGGCATGCGCAGTTCGGCCGGCTCCCGGTTAGAGCCGTCTTTTCTCTCCGGCGTTTGATCGCGCCGGGGAGAAAAGGCGGCTCGGCCGGGGGATCCGTGGGATCCCGCCGAGCCGTATCAACGTTGGCGCGGCTTTTAAAAGCCGCGCTTTAAAGGGCTTTTCCCCTGCCGTGTGGCAGGGGCCTGAGTGACTCAATAGGTCCAGGGTGATCCGTTGTCCTAAAGTCCTGCATCTCTCCAGGGCAAGGAGGGGGGAGTAGCCAGCCTGATTTCCCAGGCTAATGCCTGGCTGACATCCATCTTGGTCCTTTTCAGCCCAAGCAGTGCCCTGCACTTAAGGTACTGCTGTGGTATTAAGAAGGGTGTTTCTAGTTCTTTTAACCCAGAGGTGTCAAACGCATTTGTTACAAGGGCCAGATCTGACATAAATTTCACTTTGTTGGACCACCAGCTGTCCAATGCATGCCATCCAGTCAGACTCAAATCATTTCAGGACATTTAATAATTTTGACACTAGAAGAGTGCTTAATTTTTTTAAAAAAAAGACACAGAGACTGCTAAATGTTGAGGAAATGTTTGTGGCTTAATAGCATTTTTGAAATCCCTTAAGAATCTTTTCAAACCTGGGAGACAACGATCAATGGAAAGGGTCAAAGTGTAACAAACACTCTGGCAGCCCCCTTGCCTTTATTGTTTGCCTATTGACAGATTTGTCTTAATAGACCACAAAGGCGCTGGCTTCATTGACTGTAGCGGCAGTGTTGGAAAAGGAAGCAAAATATCAGAACAGACCACCTGGGCCACTCGCTCTATAAAACATGTTCTGAATTTTCAGTCCATCATCTTGGCTTTTATGGCCCCCTAACTCACAATTAATGACTTAACAGATAGAGTCAACAAGTCTCTGGTGTCCATGTCCATAGCTCTTGCTAGAATATGCTGAAAAGCACTAGAATTGTGTACCAGTCTCTACAGGCTGATATTTGTAGGGGGGAAAAATTGAATTGTTGCCAAGAATTGACCATTAATGGCAGAAGCTCAGTACCAGAACCCAGACTGCAAAGATTTCAGCTCCCATTAACACCATGTATTACTCAGCCTCTGTGTAAAAAAATATTCACCCAGTTTCATCATGGGAGTATAACATATCAATGCATTTGTAAATGGTGGTGTATTTTTAAAGCTTTAATTGGGACCATGACTTTAAATATCCATGTCAATAAAAATGTGAAAAATAAACCCTTTTTACACATTACTAAAGAAATGCTAATTAAAATAATGCTACCTACAAATACATTTAAAAGCACTGTCATGAAAATTAGGGGATTTGTCTGACACTATGGACAACAAAGCCACCATTCATATCATTTCATGCATCTAACAAAGTAGGCTGTAGTCTAGAAAAGATTATGCTAGAATAAAATTTAGTGTTTAAGGTGTTGCGAGAACCCTGTTTATTTTCCTCCCCTCTATTTCCTTGTCCAAGGGATAGGATCCTCAGGCAGCCATAAGAACCTGCGTCCAATAGATCTTCATTTAAAATCATTCTCAAAGGAACAGTGAACACAGGTCTTCTAGGATGTCAAGCTCTTTGCAGACTGTCACTGAAGCAGTGGCAGGCAGCACTGATGGACTGGCTTTGTGCAGCTCAGGAGAACACCACCCTTTAGTGGTAACCGTGCTTGCTCTGTGTAAGTGGCACATGGTATCTCATGTGGCCAACACATAATATGTGGATGACATGTAATTGTATCTGCATCCTTACATATTTGTACCTTACAAAACTGTACCATCCATACTTGACATGTTTGCTGCAGAAAATAATGGTGCAACGGGGGTGTATCTGCTGCAGACATGTTTGCTGGTGGTCTTGCTAGCGTCAAAAGGCTCTTTTTGAAGATGTGGATCAGTATTCCTGTTCAGTACCCTTGCAGACCCCACTCACTCCACAGATCAATTTACTTCTATAGAAACACCCCTTTCGGGAAGGCTGGCTCAGGTTTAATAAAGGAGCAAACTGGCCCTAACGGGAGATTGTCTACAACACAATTCGATAATCTGTTGAGCACAAGTTTCCTTTTGGCTAGACAGAGGTTAATTTGCTATTATCTTCTGTTCTGAAAACTTACTGTTATGAGTAGCTTCAGGCACAATAATATCACTACACACTACTTCATTCTTGTCTCACTGTAAATAGCATATGGATTTTGAGCAACCAGGTTGTTTAGCTCTGCTTATCGCTCACCAGTTGGCACAGGGCCACAATAATTTTATGTAATTGTCTTGCATCCATTTTAAATTGAGAGACATGTCTCATATCTATACATGCTTCCTTTTTTTATCAAAGCTCTACATGAGAAAAAGGATAATCTACATCTCAAAAAGTTATGCTAATGCTTATTCATGACACACTAGTTTAATCTGCATCCTCCTTAGACCATCCCTGACTTCTAAGACAATTAGGGTCCAATCCATTCTGAACTGTGCTCCTCGTCCTCCATTAGTGCTTACATTAGGTCCTGACAACAGTAGGGTACATAATATTACCATGTTCCTCATGTTCCTTCTCCTCTGGATTTGGCCATATTGTGTCATCAGCTGCAATATAGCAACATAGCTGCGTGCTAGAACTGTCTTGTATGACTCAATGTATAGGGATGTATGCTCACAGATGTCATCAAGTCACAGCCAACTTATTACAACCTCAGCCAGGGTCTTTAAAGGCAGGTGAGAAGCAGAGGTGGATTGCCTTTGCTTTCCTCTGCAGAGTCTTCCTTGGTGGTCTCCCATCCAAGTACTGACCCATGTCACCTTCCTTCCAGGAGTGTGTATATGGGAAGATTCAAACCCAGAGACCTTTAATACATGGAGGCAATTCGTTTTCAATTAAAACACATTTACTTAGTTACAAAAATGTAAAAAAGAAAATCCTTCTGTCCCATGGAAACAGGGTCATGTTTGTATTAGTGACAATAGTTACAATACTAAGAGTCACCTTCCCTAAAATGATTGAAGGAGTCAGGAACTAGAAGCCACTGTAGTCTTTCAGTGCACATACTGTTAGCCAGAGAATATCAAAGGAAAACATTGGTTTAGAGCTTCAAGCCAAAAGAAGCTCATGAGAAACTAGAAGCCCACCTATAAAAAAGGAAAAGCCTTCAATACTGGGCAAAGACTAGGCACCTTGTCTATTTTTATATCCTCCTTCCTCTAAAGAGCTCAGAGCAGTGTACATGGGTCTTTTCACTTGTATTCTACCTTCGCAACACCTCTGTGAGTAGAATGCCCAATGTAGAGTAGAGTCTGCCCAAGTTATCTGCTAAGCTTCCTAGCTGATTGATATTTTGATATTCCAACCACTACACTATGCCGGTTTAAACCTGCACCTATGGAATAGACTGGGAAAGAAGTTGGAGAAACAGGGGAAGGTCATCCAGAGCATAGGTACTAAATTAAAAGTTCATAAGGGTGATTGGGCACCAGTTAGCTATTCGG